ACTGTTTTCCCCGGCACAAAGGGAGCTGCATTATGCAATACTCTGCAACAGTGAAGTGGCAAGTCCATAGCGAGCGGTGACTCGTCTTCTGTGAAATGGACTGTGCCTGGAAACAGCCTGACACTAGTTACCGTGCTATTATTAATTTAAAGCAAGTGGAAAATGCAAATTTGTATAGCAATGTAATGATCGTCAATCAAGTATCAATCAATCAAATTTTAATTGTACAGCCCATATTCGCAAATCACAATTTGTCTCATAGGGCTTTTACAAGCTGTGACATCCTCTGTCCATCTATCCATTATGTGTCTTGATAGCGCAAACCTTCCAATGCCTGTAAGTGGTGCATGAAGTCAGTATTTAATTTTTTACAAATGGCATCCCAGCTTTCAAATTTTCTGCATCCGAAAAACAAAAATGAGTTTTACCGTCACGATCTGCATCCTTGCATTTTTGCGCTTATGTCAAGAGTCTTTCACACTGAGCGCTCAACAGTCCCCTTGAATTCAATCAGGGCTCACACACTCATGGATGTAAATCCCCTAAATGTGCCTGATTTGTATCTTCAATATTCTCGAATAATTCCCTGGGAAACGTTTGTTGAGTAGTCTTTGTTTAATCCTGCTGAAAAATCAAACAACCAACTAGAGTGATGCTCAGTTTAGAGCATATCTCTGCCATCAAGCTGCACCAAATGTTTGCTTCAATTCCAATTTGGAGTTTTCAATTCACCGTCATGACGTTGCTGCATTTTTTAAAATCTTGAATTGTTAATGTTATTTCATCGACTCACAAAAACAACTATAGCTATAATTCTGGGCTCATGCTATATGGGAACCAGTCGTCACAGGTAGAAATCATATAGCTTAATTATTTTTATTAATGACCACACACTTTCAGCAAGGGATAAACTGTAAGAATGTGAGGTCGCAGAAAAAAAAGCCATAGTCTGAATTTAATTTGGGACATTGCACTAATAAGAAATGAATTGACCAATATTCCTGTTTTGCTATAATTTGATCTACAATTGCCATGTGTCCGGGTTGAAATAAAAATCTCTCCAGCTTCCACTTTGGACATTTGACACAAATTGTACCATAACGAAATCCTGAGAGCCAACAACCCACCTCTGGATGGCTGTTAGGCAGGCCGGGGCTTTTCCTTATCTGCCACAGTTGCCTTTATTGCATCAGTCTGTCAGGTGACCACAGGGAATTACAGCCGCAGAGCCCTTTTGACACGTGTCCGTTAGGAGCGCGGCAATATGGGTCAAGGCACAGACCAAAAATTGAGTTATTGTTGTCCTGAAATGAAACCCAGCAAGGGAGGCACGGATTGAAGTCCAGCCAACAATCAAACATGATGTCACCTCAGACATCACTGACTGATTCTGACAAAATCTGCCTGCGTGATGTTTTTCTGCCTCGAAAAAGAAGCCTCAAGCCCAAGTTTTCAGCATAGATCAACATAAAAATAAAATGTATTTCTTATTCCTCGGCTTCATGGATCAGTGTTTTGTCAGTTTTAATTTGCTGTCAACAGAGGTGTTTGCCAGTCTGAGATCTCTTACTCTGACTCCACGAGAGGTGATAATCACCGTCTTCACTACTCCGAACATGTGTTATTGCACCGCTGCTGTAATTTATTTGTGTTGATTGATTCTTTCTGTGATGGATCAAAAAAGCAAGTTCCGCTTCCTATCTGTGGGGCTGCTCAGTTCTCCACTTATCACTAAACCATTTTAATTCCCTGACCAAAACAATGAACTGAAGATATATATGTGTTCAAAGTGTTAATTGGTCGAATAAGTTTTGTTTAAATTAGTCATTTGATGCTAAAAAAAGGCTGAAACATCGTTCCTATATATCTTTTATACAATATATGATATAAAAGTTGTGTTGCTTAATAAAATTTGCTTAAAAGGAACACTTTGATTGGTTCAGGCATAATAGAGACAGTAACATTTAAATTAAATGTTCAACTAAGAAACTACACACTTGTGATATAGATGCTCAGACTTTCATAGAACTTGAAAAAAAAAAGATTGCTTTAAAAACCTGACCACACTAATGCAGCTATTCTTGTGTGAATGACATAGCTACAATTAAAACCAGATATTATAATAACTCAGGTGAGACGTGTCAGAGACGCCACACTGTTTTTTTGTAAAAATGAAACCGACCCTTTTTAATACAGTCGTCATTTTAAAGCCAACGGTGCCAATCCCTTTAATTAAGCCTCTGTAAGCAACATAACTTCCATTAGTCTCATTACTGTATTTAACTGCTGTTTATTCATATATATATAATAAATACTAGTATCCCAGTTAGTCTGATGTTTGTTTGTTGAACTCACTGTTTTTTTCTTTTTGGCCAATTAATATTGCTTTTTTTTTTCTTCCACCACGACCTGACCTCAACTGTGCAACCTGGATACTTGTTCCTATCTAGATATCATGACTCATGTGTTTTGTCCTCTTCTGAAAAGAGAGTTTTCATTTCTATTATTATTATTATTATTACATCTGTGTCTACCTGTGTTCCTTTTGTTTGGGTTTGTGTTCTGAGTTTTCAGTTTTTTGTTGTAACCTTGTTCCTGGTGTGTTTCTCTCTGTGTCCCTCTCTGTTTCCTGTTTTATTTTGTAGTTTCAGCTCCTTGTGTGTACTCCACCCGGAGTTCGTGCCCTCATCAGTTTCACCTGTTTGTCCTGTGCCACCTGTCTCATTAGTTCAGTGTGTATTGAAGTCTCTGTGCTTCTCTTGGTCTTTGTCGGTTCGTTGTCGTACTGTGTGTCGTCTCACCACTCCGTCATTGTTTCTCCTCCTTCCAGTAAGTTCTCTAGTGTCTCCTTGTGTCTCCCCTGTTTTTGCTGAAGAGCATTTTTGAGTTTATTGTTTTGTCTGATGCCCTGCCTTAATTATTAAAGGACACTTTTTGTTAAAATCTTTTGTTCTGCCTTTTTGGGTCCACCTGCTCTTTTACCCGCCCCCCCCCTAAAACGTGACACTAGATTACTCAGTATATTTTGTACTTTCTATTAAAGATGGCCAAATCTCTGGGAAAGACAATTTTGTTCCCACCATTGTTTGTGCTATATCATTTGGCTGAAGCCACGTCTATACAAGTAGCTCAGCAGTGGTCAGGGACCACTATTCTGCATGCTATTCATGGTTTACTCCAACTAGCAGTATAAAATCTGATTTGACAGGTTTCTTGCGAAATGTTAACTTGCACCAGTATCCAAGCTACCTACTGCGTACTCCAGACAGTATAATCATGTTTCTCTTTAACATGGGATCAGGGCTTATGGATACTTCAGAAACCTGATAAGAACCAGGATACCAGTGTGCATGTAAGCACAGATAATCACTGATGCGGAATAACACCAATAACATGCAATTTGTGTGACATGACTGCTTTTGTTCATCATAACATTCCTTTATTATCATGTGTAATACTTAAATTTTAATATTGTTTGCAGTATCCCTTACTTCCTCCTTTGTCATTTATTTTCTACTTGCCACTTTCTCTCTATACACCTATTTCATTTACAATACACAAACTTGTACTTTATTTTAATCTTCACATGTATTTAAAACAATTTTTTTTTTCCTGCATACTGCTCAACTTTATATTGTTCTGTACTGTGATCTTGGAGCAAGCTAGGACCACCACTATGCCGATGGAGGGGGCGGTGAAGTGTTTGAGTCCACTTTTGGAGTTTAAGGGGTCGTAATGGAAAACTTGCATATGACCTTAGCTTGAACTCTTTCCTATGTCTGATCAATGCTTGTGTGCTGTGTTCAACAATAACTCATATAGAAACACAATTGTGCTTTCTTAAGAGGAACTGTCTGGCTTACATGCAGACGGACGATTCAAAACTAGACAGACAACTTTTCGTGTTTTACCCTTAACTATCCAATACCATGACTGTTGCTATGCACTTGGCAGATGTAACCTCAGAGTTCTTCTTTCATGCAGAAGTAAGAGCAGACAGCTTCCTGTGTTAACCAGACTACAGGGGGCTTCAGTTTTTCATGCTATTACTCAGAAACAGTTGTCTCTTATGTTTGCTGTTTACCTGACTCTATAAAACCTTCTTCTTTCCCTATTCGGGGTCGTTCCACTCTGAGCATTCATGCTGAGTGTGAAACCCTCTGCAGAGCTCTATTAAAGACCTAAAGATAACACTGGTCTGAGAAACTCTTTATTTCACATCTCGAGATAAATTTCCACCACAGGGTAAACAGTGTTGTAGCCAAAACCAAGACAATTCAAGTAACTGAGGATTGATTCTTCAAACGTAAAAAACAACATGCCTCCATACTGGTCCTGTGGTGTCATCCTACCAGAAGTAGTGATGCCGCCCTACACCCTTGTCCTTGGACGAGGGCTTGTGTGGTGTGCGAGGTGTGTGCTTACAAATGTGAACGAGGCTCCAGAGGAAGATATCAGCTGAGCTTTATGCTAAAAACTTGGTGTACCTGACACTATATCGAGTAGAATTGTGGATGTTGGGGCTTACAGACACTTGGATGACACCGCAGGGGCAGCATGGAGGCATGTTATGTTTTTTTTTCTGTTGTTCAATTGTTTTGGATTTGGCTGCAACGCTGTTTACCCGTGAAACTCCAAAAGTGTTTTGTGGAATCAAACTTCACCCACCCATCCATCGTCATATGTGAGGAGTTAATGACTGAATTTACCTTTTTGGGCAGCTAGCACTTTAACATGGACGAGCAGGTGGTGCTTAGCCTATAGGTGGAGGAGTCCAGGGGCCCAAGGGACTCACAGATATCAGAAAGTATTCCTGGCTGTAGGATTTCTAGACCTTTGGAGTACATTTTGGCTCTTTTCTTTACGCTCAAACCTCCCCCTGCTCTGACTTCTGCAAGATAAAAAGATAAAAATGCAAAAATCTAAACATGTTCTCATCGATCTTTGTCTTCCAACCAACAGCTTCCAGGGGTGAGGCTTTGGAGAGAAGTGAGGAGGAGGAGGGGGGCTGTTCGCTCCTCGGCGCAGAGCGAGGCGCAGTGGACGAGCGGGGAGCCGGGAGCGCGCGTTAAGGAAGGAAGGGAAAGGAAGGAGAACTAGCCTCACCAGTCGACAGCGGAGCCACAGACGGCGGATGAGCGGAGCCGAGTGCGTGTTCATCGATCTTGTCGTTTCCCAAGTCGTTTCCCACAGCAGCTGAAAGCAGCGTTCGGCCGCCCGGAGCCTGTCCGCAACATGATGCTCAAACTCCTCCACCTCCTCGGGATGCTCGTCTGCAGCAGCCAAGGTGAGAGACTAGTGCGTGCGTGCCTGTCCACCCCCCCCCCACCCCCCGGGACTCGGTTGACTTTGTGGACAAGTTGAGTGCGTTTTTGTTGTTGTATTTTTTCAATTTGATCATCGTGATCTGCGGAGGGAGCGAGCTGCTGCTGCTGAGGAGAGAGATAGAGAGAGATGAGGGGGCGAGAGAGCTTGGATATGAGAGGGGAGTGTGAGAGAGAGTGTGTGTTTGTGAGAGAGAGAGGGCTGGATTGTTAAACTGGACGTTGTTTTGTAATTGAGGCACGTCCTGCAGGGGCCACAATGCTTTCTTACTGAAAAGGGGGATTATGATGGGGGTCCTTCTCCTTTTCTTGGAGTGGCTGCGCTGCTCAGACACACACCCTGCACTCCTCGGACACACACTGTTGTCCTCATCATGCAACACTGCTTATGTATTAGTTTATTCTGTATATGTTTGGGTGCTGCCTTTATGGTGCTTCCTTATTTCTGTGCGCACGGATCTCCATTCGTTTCCTACTGGCGGATTTAATCGATGACACCTTCCAACTCAAACTGGAGTCATTAACCTGAGTTGCATATTCTTGTCACTGTAGAAAAAACTGTAGATGGAAGATTGCGCGGTGAAGAAACCTCTTCCATCAGTGTGTGTGTGTGTGTGTGTGTGGTGCACAGCCTGTGCGTAATCATGCCACGATGTGCTTCGGAAAGTTTGGGAATACGAGCTCCCATTTGTGACATGATAATTGGGTTTCATGTGCGTGGGGCACCTGCGTCGCATGATAGCGCAGTGATTGTCTCGTGCGCGCGTCCATGTGTGTGTTTGCTCCAGGCTCGTGGGCAATGAAGATGTTACCTGAGTGACTGCTGCTAAGAAAAGCATTAATTGAAAACGTGGAGGACGGTCGTCTTTGGAGCCCCCCCCCCCCCCCCCCCCCCGGACATTTTTTGCAGTGTTGCCAGGGGTTCCTAGCGCACAACGGCAGGTGGGGGTAGAGCGCTGCAAAGTAGTACCAACAGTGAGCCGCTGGTAGTTAAAGTTGCAAGTTGCATCTCATTCAGCCACACTGCCTCTCTGAAGTCCTCGAGGGTAGAGGGAGGAGGGGTCCTTGAGGAGGTTTCAAAAAGGGTCCCACAGTCGCAAATGGAGAATCTCAGATACATATTTTACAATACTTTGCAGCAGGGGAAGGTGCTAAAATGACTATGAATGTTAATAACAGGGCCAGTACAGTGCTACAGTATTATTGTCATGCTTGGAGGAAAGAAGGGATGTGTATATCTTGGATGAGGTGGAGATTTCTGGGATAAATCAGCATCAGATGAGTCTTCGTGGTTTAGTTTGGTGGTTTGTGGCGTGGGAACAGAAACAGACCCTCAGGAGGCACAGTTTGATCACCCTCTACATTTCAAAAGGACAGTGACATACTGGTTAATTCATATTTAAACCACGTCAGTAAAGTGATTGTTGATGATTGAGAGAAAGAGGAGAATTTAGGATTCCTATTTTAATTTATGGTGAATCCCACCGATGTAAAACAAAGAGGTCCAAACTGGAACAGTCACCGCTTTGTGACTTTCCCTTTGTTACAACACTGTTACATCATCTCACCAACCAATTTCCATTCTCATCATGTTTTCCATGATAGCACGATCCACACAAATTGACCTCTTAGACAACGCTGTAATGCGATGGTAAGGGTGTTGCTGAGATGAAGGTGCCTTAGCAGGATGCTTAAATGTCACCGCAGGGCTTTGGAGTAAGGACCCAGAACCCGATTTCTTTGCTTTCACCGATTCTTAACAGCAGCATGTTTTTTTTTTCTTCCTGGCAGGAGTCAGCGAGGTGCTTTGCCTCCCACCACACTAACTCTGCAGATATCCTCTGTTCTACCCCCTCTAGCTACTGAAAGAAAACATTTGCTTTTGAAGTCCCAGCTCACTGTCTACCCTGCACTTGAGTATGCATCCTTGAAGGTTTATGCATTTGGCTTTTTACCGAACGCTTAGCACAATGAATTATATGCTTGCTTGGGTTCACCCGGGACTCGCCGATGTGATGTTAAGTGGCGTAATTAAGATTTCTGTATCTCTTGGGGGGGAAATGTCAGAGGCTCAGGGTTTTAAAGATTTATACCCCTGCGCTTAAGTGTCTCTCATTGCACCCCGGAGCCTGCGCATAAGCATGTGTTTGAGGTTTGCTCACATCCTATAGCCCTGGTTTACGTGCACTCTCACATGAGTAAGCAAAAAAAAAACTCACACACACTTACGCTGTGCCTCCAACCATTCAAATGAATCATCGGTAAGATATTTATGAGGCTCGTGTAGATTTTCTCTTTTTTTTCCTTTTCAGAAATTCACTCCTAGTCCTGCAGGAGGCAAACTGTACCCCTCAAAGTTACTGTTTACCTTCCCGCCATGTTGATAACCTGATCCTGGACCAATGCAATGCTTAACACCAATCACAAACTCGTATTAAAGACATACAAAGCTGTTCACAAAAGAAATGGCCTGTGCCTTCGTCCTGCAAGGTGGAATTGATTGCATTATCTGATTAATAGACTAGGACGGAGAGCACACTCATAGAGAGCCAGTGTATATATGAAAATGAAATCGCCCCCTCGAGGCAGCAGCGTATGAGAAATCAATTTAAGGAACGACTAGAGTCAGCAGGCCTGGGAATTGTACAAAGGGCAATTTTAGTGTTATGGAAATGCTATTTATTTGCCTGTAAGTTTTTTTATTTCTCATGTGTGCCCTTTAGCGCTCAACCCGCCGAGTTACAGTCTTCACATTGGATTTGTGCATTTGCAAGTGTTGTAAATACCTGGATGCACGAGAATAGCAGCGCCAAACATCTGCGCCGCAGGGCTTGTTGTCATCTCGCTGCGAATGAAGTGACAGAGCTGCTTGAAGTGACTGTTAACGTTTCACAAAAGACGCCCACAAAATGACCACAGAGAGATGAAAACGACCGCAGAGACAAAGTGGACCACAAAGGAACTGGGAACAACCACCAAGAGGCACAAACTTACTACAACCAGGCACGAAATGGCCAAATCAACCACAAAGTGGACAAAAAAGGAGCACAAAGGACTAAATGAGACTCAAAATGACTACAGGGACACAGAGCCACTTAAAGAGACAGAACAACAACAGCAAAACAATAAATCGACGACAAAGAGATGCTACTTCAGAGACACAAAACAACCACAAAAAGACACAAAACAACTACAAAGAGACAAAAAACAACCACAAAGAAACAAAAAATGACCACAAAGACACTCAAAATGACCACACAGATATATGCAATGGCCAGGTTGATGTGAAACTACAACTTTGTCTACATTCTTGCATGTTTAAGCGCAGTTTGTCTCCTTATCCTTCCACATCGGTCCTTCATTGGGAAGTTATAGGTCAGCCTCAGTGCACAACCTGAAAGGACATGAACTGCTTTGCTCAAGCGTTGTTTGGAGAGCTCCGTGTACACGCTGTGCAGCTCTCAGCTCACAGCTCCGTTAACAGGATTAGCATCAGGGATTAAGAGACCTCTGCAGGAAATGTATTCATCCTTACTCGAAGACGTATTGTGTGTTAATGACACGTTTGGACTTTTTTTTCGTCAATAGCAGACATACTAAGAGGTGAGATGATACTAAAAGAAGCTGCAGTAGGTGAACATTGGGCTTATTTTTAAAATGGCAAAAACTGCAGCATGTTCAATGATGCCCTGTGCCAACCTTGGTCTATTTTGACTCAAATCACCCATTATTATCATGGAAGTGACTAATGTTCTCCTCAGGGAGTCTGTCCCAACCAGGAGCCAAGAAAGTGGAGATACACCGTGCAGTGGGGAGGGTTCTCTGGTGAGGATGAGTTTGGCCTTGCTCGTTATATTCCATCTCCTGAATCAGGAAGGCAAAGAATTGGGAAGGAAGCAGCGAGCAACAAGAGGATTTATACGGCAGGAGGAGGCGAGGATGAGATAATGTTTGAAAATTCATTCAGTTAAAGTGAGTATGATTGCATCTAGTTAAATTGCATTGCCAGAGATTGAATCAAACCGTGCAGAGTTGCACTGTCTCAAAATTATTAAAATGTAATCGAACCCTGTCGATGGAAACAAAAGAAGCCGGAGTGACATGATTGGAGGAGGCAGCTGAAGCATGTTGCCATGTGCGTTTGCCTGCTGTTTTGGTGCGAGACAGGCAGGAGACCCTTTGGCTCCTGCTTGTGTGTGTCCTGCCAGTCTAAATGCCAGTCTAACTAGGCTAATGGGCAGAGCCAGGATGCCAGGGTGACAACAGAAACCGTGGGCACGCTGGCTGACGGACAGGCGGATGCATGGTTTCCCTCTCCTGTTGCTGCACTTTATTTTTCTGCAGCTTGCTCCTGCAAAGCACACATCACTGTTAGGTTTGGGCAGCAGCACACATGATTAAATGAAGAACAAGGGGGATAAGTGGTAGAAGAGCTTCAGAACCACTTGGGTTTTGATTTGACCCACTTAGACCAAATTCATAACTACACTTGGGGTGACATATAACCTTATTCTCAAACAGCATTAAATTGACACGTTATGCATTTTTCCTTTCTTTATTTATAGGTGATGTTTTTAGGCCAAAAAACCCAAATTTCCATCTTCTCAGTTCATTAACAACAATTTTATAGAATCTGTAAACATGTATGTTTTGGAGATGGGAGATTAAATAGGTGCAAATGTATTATCAGATCAGTTTATTATTAGATGTGTTGAATTAACAATTTAACACATCTAATAATTTAATGATTGCTCTACAACATCACTGTCGGAATACGATAAGCACTTGCAACATTAGTGACTGAGGTGAATAGTCAGCTGTGACAAATGTTATGAAAAAGCTTTAAAGAGTATCTTCAAATGTCAATGTGTATTTTTTTGGTGTGAAATCTCGGTTGATTTTGTTTTCAGTTTTTTTCAAGAGGAGCTCTTTGCAATTACCATTCCCTCGTCGTACCTCATTT